AATTCAGACAGCTCAAGTCAATTCCCTGCCCTTATATTTGGCAACAGAAAACATTAACATTCAGTTTTCATGATTCTGGGTTAATAATTAGGAAACTATCACACCGAAGGGATAACAGAATCATGGTTTATTTTTATGGAATATTTATTTATCTAGGCAAGTTGATTTTGATTTGCTATATAAAATAATTTACTCTGTAATTTAAAACCCATTGACACGGAAACTAGGTTGGAAAAATCCAGGACACCGGATTCTTAAAAAATAAAAAGAAGAAATAGAAATATGAAAAAAGAATCTGTGGTCCCGCCACTGAAAAAGAACTCTTGTTAACAGCTGTCTCTAGCCTGTTTTTGTTTGTTTATTATAATGTCTACCTACAGTTTCCTTTTTTGGGGGTTATATATAACCATGTCATAGTGTATACACATATTACAGTATGTATAAACATACAGCTTTTCTCATTTCAGAAAAAGGGTACTCTCCCATATTACTACAAATTCTTTTTAAACATCATGTTACATAGTTAAGCATACTCTATCAGATGTACCATAATTTACCATTCCACAGCATTGCACATTTATACTTTTTCTAATTTTTCCCTATTTTAAATGACACTCAAAAAACATTTTGGCTCACAATGCTTTTTCTGTACTCAGGATTATTTCTTTAGAATACATTTCCAGAAATTAGTTACCAGGCAAAGAATATGAATTCTTAACATACTTTGTCAAATAGAATTCCAAGATTTCAACACTGCTCTGAGCACTTCTACAAATGCCATGTTCACTGCTACAAGAATCAGCCACGGTTTAAATGTAAGAGACAACATTTATAATAAATGTGCCGATTGATCTCAATTGCTGCTGAAGGGTTTGTAGGTACCACAAAGGTCACAAGGGCTTAAATTAAAGACTGGTAGATTTTACTTATTTTTTAAACTTGGCAAAATCACCTGAAGAGAATGGGTTTTCAAAGTTAACCAAATCAAACAGAAAACAAATCCAAACAAGCAAACAAAAACACCCGACAAAATCACAAAGTGCCACATGTGCAAAACTCATGGGAACATCTTGCAACTGCAAAACATGGTATGAACATAAAAAATTAGAGATCATACATTACCTTACTCGATATTTACTGAATGTATTACTGTGTGCCAGGCACAGGGGTGGGTGCTGTAGGATATTAGCTTTGATACCAAAGTTCACTGTTACCACATCAACTGATACCCTGCCAGCCTCGACGTTTTACCTCTGCATCCTGCATATCAGACAAGGAACATTTCTAGGAAATTGACAGTTTTGATGCCAAATACTGAAACAAATTTAATTCTCTGCAAACCGTATTTCATGTTTGACTTCATTCACATTGCAAGGGTAAAAAAATAAATCCCAAATCTTAGCTCAATTTTACAGCAATGTTTGGTTGGCAGGGAGGACAGAAGAGAGGGAGGAAGCCATGGTAAACAATGATTTAGAATGAATGAAAAAATGCTTACGATGCTATTTATTCCAGTTTCTGACAGGTCAAACATCACTGTTACAGGTTTCCCATTTTCTCTCTTAGCATAACGTTCTAACCAGAATGCTATGAGCTTTTTTTTGTCCGGTATGGTTTTCTGGTCTTTTGTATGATACTTCACCCTGATCCAGACTTTAAACAGAATGAAAGATAAAAATAAGATTTATGGCATTATAATATTATTTTTTAATATATATGTGTGTGTATATATGTGTGTGTGTGTGTGTGTGTGTGTGTGTGTGTATAGCCTTTTCCTTGAGATTTTCTTCATTTATAATTCATTTTGTTTCTCAGATTAAAAAACATTTCTTCCTTCTTGGCTTTTTTTAAATTTTTTTCCTCAACCCCAGCCCCCTTCCTTCTTTTAAATGAGAAATAGTCACACTTGGGAACCTTAAATTAAAGAGTAACAGAGAGGTAAACTATTTTTCTTTCCCTTAGGAAATAAACAAACTTCACTTGTAAGTAAGGGGGAAAAGAAAATACAGGTGAACAAACACTAAAAGTGATCTCTATTGTGCTTAACAAAAAGAGAGCCAATGGTTCTGTAAGCACTAGAAAAAATGTTCCATCCAGAGGAAAGCCACTGACAGAGGTGTGATGGAGGCACGAGTGGGTGCCTGCATGTGGGTGGAACGTGGCAAACCATTCCAGTGGTGGCAGCTGAGATGAAATGTGACGAGTGGTGAGAGGAGAAGCTAAACAGAGAGCCAGGGGCTGGGCCTGAAGGACTCTGAAAGAAACTCTGGGGTGCTTTGATTTTCCTGTTTTAGAACATCTCTCAGCAGGAGCATAAGAGGGCAGAGTGAAGGAGGCTACAATCTGGGAAGGGCCTGGGGGCAAGCAGGTAGTAGTTAGGGACTGGAATGAGGAAGTGGCTAGTGAAGACGGAAAAGGGGCCTAATTGAAGCTATATCAGAGGAAGAGCCAAGGAGTGGGCCTGAGGTGGGCAATACCGAAACTGAGCAAGTGGCAGAATGCGGATGTTCAGTTGTGTGTTGTGCTGAAGGCAGCTGAGCCAGGTGGCATTCAGGTGCCAGTCAGGTGGGTAGCTGGGTAGGTGCATGTGGCCTGGGGATTGTGTGGGGTCACCACTGTGTGTGGGGAGGTAGCTGAAGCTGCCAAGGTGCTTGAAATCACCCAAGGAGACTGTATCAGCTGGAAAGTAAAGGAGGCGAAGAAAGGAACGAAGCCTGGGAAACACATTTAAGGGACAGGTAGAAGAGAAATGAGGAAAAAAGGCTGAAAAGGATGCAGCCGTGATAAGAGGAAAATGCAAAGAGTATTGTTCAAATGGGGCCAGATTACATGCTGCAGAGAAGGCAGGCAAGATGAGTGCACAATGTCTGTCCAGTATGGGGCTCGAGCACACCTGCCAAGCCCCATCCTTAATACAAAACCAAGCTGGATCTGGGGTAAGAGGGAGAAAGGCACAACAAGGGAGTCATCTGAACAACAGAAATGACTTACTGTTCCTCCCATTATTACACACATTTCAGAAAAAACTAAGGGAAGATTATGAAAGTCTCAAAAAGAAAAAAGCCCATTTAAGCAAACTTTAGCGACTATCAAAAAGATTCTCTATAAAAATACTGAGTTGACTTTTAATATCATAGTCAAGTTAGAAAGAAGATAATGATGTTGAATTAAATTATTTTGGCTATGTTACGGGATGCAATATTTGCCTTTGTTGCCTATTTTATTATAACACAAACAGTACACACAACTACTAAGTGTCTGACACTTCTGTAAAGATGGCCCTACTGATCCTTAGATGGCCCTGATCTTTAATTGCAGGAGAATTAATGTGTGTTACATACGGGGAAAATTCTGCTCCTGATTAATTTAGTTGAAATAGATACCTACATCTCAAAATCTTGAAAAGCCAGTACAGAAATTAAATATACTTACACAATTTGTTACCTTCTTTGTCATAACCATGGAGATAAATAAGACCCATTTCCAATAACCATCTGGGAATGGAGGATTCATTAAGGTCTAAAAAATGATAAACTTTGATCAGTAACTGTAATTTAGAGACCTAAAAATAAAACTCACAATTCAAAGATGATGTGGTATAGTAGTTCTGGTATTTAAAAAAAGATACAATGCATTCAAACATGTGGAGAGAATCTCTGGCAATAAAAAAATGATGTTTCCTACCAAGGAAACAAACTACATAAAGACACAGGGACAGAGATGGATAAACTTCATTCCCCTTGACGTGTCATTATTTATGTGGATACATTTCCACATTGTGGTTGAGTTTCTTTTACACAATGACTTGTAACAAATATTATCACTATCACACCATTTCAAGACAACATGCCAGTAAATATCCACATTGCAGCCTCGGAATTAGTGAAAAAAAATCACTTTGGTTTCTCCAGTAAAATGGTATTTTTCTACAATGTTTGATACCCAGTAGACTCTAATATATTTTAGAACCTTGGGGAACCTTTAGCAAGAGGAACAAACAAAGGGCTTGTCCAGTTTCTGGTGAGGCTGAAGAACAACACAGCAAGGCAGCAAATGCCAAGGCTTTTGTTTCATTCACCAGCAGTTCCCCAAGAACTTTCAAAGATTTATCTTTCCCCACCTCCTTATCATCTCTGCTATTTGCCACCAGAAACTAACAATTCTATGTAAGAAAACAAGTATTGTTGAGTTTAAAAGTTTATTTTGTACTTAAACCATTGAGATATATTAGATTTATATTTCTTTGCTTGATTAATATAACAAATGCTTCACTGTTTGTTGAAATTACCTACAGTGTTAACATTTCCAATCACATTATTTGATACTCCTCTTCCCATGGATTCCTTCTGCAAATATGAAGAGTGGGGAAAGTGTATACTCTAGATTGATTTGTTGACTATTTTGTATTAAGTCTGCAGACTCAAGTCACCTAGAGTTTATAATCCTGATGGACAGAAAATCCTTCTTTATAGCCAATTGAAATCAGAAGTTATGCCAGTTTCTTCTTGTTAAATTTTTAGGAGGAGAGAGATAACAGGTAACCCTTCCTGTGAAAAGTTCTTCATATATCTGAAGACCATTATAAAACTCCTAGGCTGGCGTGGTAGCTCATGCCTGTAATCCTAGCGGTGGGAGGATTGCTTCAGGCCACGAGTTTAAGACCAACCTGGGCAATATAGCAAGGCCCCATCTCTACAAAAAATAGAAAGTCTGTAGTCCTAGCTACTCAGGAGGCTGAGGCAGGAGGATTGCTTGAGTCCAAGAGTTTGAGGTTGCAGTGAGCTATCATGATGCCACTGCTCTCTAGCTCGAGCGACAGAGTAAGACCCTATCTCAAAACAAAACAAAAAACTAAAAAACAAAAACTTCCCTTCAGATTTAAAACTCCCATTTTTGAGAAAAATCTCAATCTAGCAGTACACCTAGAAATTAATAAGTTAAGAGAAAACTGCCACAGCTTCCTTGGGGATAGCTTGCTTTTTTGAGACTTCCATTATTTAGCAATTCTATATGGAGTACCTATTAGCACAAAGAACTCTGGGGATACAGAAAGACACAGTTTTGTTATTGAGAAAAATAGGAAAATAGTATCTCTTTATCTCTAGGCCTGGGAGTGAAGATGCTGTCTTGCTATTATTTAATGGTACTGAACTAAAAACAGATTAGGAGACTGCTGTGAATGAAGAACATGAGTGTGATTTCTGCTCCCTAGAGATCTGATCTTCTTATGAATGATCCTAGTTATAAGACTTATTCATGAGGTGTTCCTTTGAAAGTATTATTGGGTCACTTAAATAATTATATTCTGGTGTTTATGATTGAGTGTCAAGAATATGTGCAAATGCATGATTAAAGAAATGTAAAACAGTAACATTAGTGCAGGAGTTATTACAGTCAAAGTTCAATTGAACAGCTTACCATTGACAGAAATTTCTTTTCTCCATTGAAAACTCTCATCAAGCATCTTCAGTGTTTCATCTACACTATCGTGTCTCCAATGTAAGTAACTTTCAACCCAGTTATCATCTTGTTGTAGCCTTTCAACATCACGTGGATCATATTTATCTGACTTATCTAAGGAAAAAACAGTAATAAATATCCAAGTCAGATTAATTCTGCAATGAAAAATAACCACTAATGCCAAAGGAGAAAAAAGACCTGGAAGACAAAAGTTCAGCTATCTGAGGATAGACACAAGGATGTAGTTCAAATGAAAATGCAATTTAAAGCCTTGATGGAATTTCCAAGTGTGAGGAGAATATGGTTATCTAAAGACTGCAGGTTTACTTTAAGTAAGCCACTGTAGATGTCAAAATAAGACCATAGCCAAATATTTGGTACAACCCTCTCTAAAACTATAAATCAACATCTGGAAAGATCAATTATGCTATCTGAACTTGAAATTCTTAACCTAATGAATGAAGAATGAAGAAATTTTATATGTAAAGAAATAACTAAGTTGTAGTTAAAAAGACATTTGTTAGGCAAGTATCATTTTAAAAAATAAACTAAATATAAAACAGAAAACTGAACATGTATGCAGCATTAGGATATTTACTATTTTCAGACTCTGTGGCCAATATTTCCAATAATTTATTGGAATAATTATTTCCAATAACAATAATTTCTCATCATCTGCCTATATACATGCTATATTCATACTAACCCCTATACCAGATATTCCTCCTTCCTTGCCCTGCTCTCACCATTTTTATGTAACTGGACTCACCTTGTCTCTGTACATCCAAATACTACCATTCTTCAAGACTCTTTTCAAATGCTCCCTCTTCTATAATATTTTCCCTCAGCCCAAAAGTAATTCCTTCCCTCTTGTAAAATGGTATTGGACTTGAACTAAGCTTTACTTTTTTTTTTATTCCAGCATATTATGGGGGTACAGACGTTTAGGTTATGTATGTTCCCCTTGCCCCCGATCCCCCCCGAGTCCAAGTTTCAAGGCTGTCCATCTCTCGGATGGTGCGCATTGCACCCTTTGTATATCCATATCCGCGTCCCCTCCTCCCCCTTTCCCCTCCCCGACATCGAATGGATGTTATTCTTATATGTACACTTACGTGTTGATCAGTTAATACCAATTTGATGGTGAGTACATTTGGTGCTTATTTTTCCATTCTTGGGATACTTCACTTAGTAGAATGCGTTCCAGCTCTATCCAGGAGTACACAAGAGGTGCTATATCACCATTGTTTCTTAAAGCTGAATAGTACTCCATAGTATACATATACCACATTTTATTAATCCACTCACGTATTGATGGACACTTGGTTTGTTTCCACATCTTTGCAATTGTGAATTGTGCTGCTATAAACATTCAGGTGCAGGAGTCTTTCTTATAAGTATCATTTGTTCTTTTGGGTAGATGCCCAGTAACGGGATTGCTGGATCGAATGGTATTTCTAATTGTATCTCTTTAAGGTATCTCCATATTGCTTTCCACAGAGGTTGCACTAGTTTGCAGTCCCACCAACAGTGCATGAGTATTCCTATCTCTCCACATCCACGCCAACATTTATTGTTTTGGGACTTTTTGATAAAGGCCAGTCTCAATGGAGATAAGTGATATCTCATTGTGATTTGGATTTGCATTTCCCTGATGATTAGAGATGTCGAGCATTTTTTCATATGTTTTTGGGCCATTATTCTGTCTTCTTTTGAAAAGCTTCTGTTCATGTCCTTTGCCCACTTTTTGATAGGGTTGTTTGATTTTTTCTTGTTGATTTTCCCGAGTTCTAAGTAGATTCTAGTTATCAGCCATTTATCGGATTTGTAGCATGCAAAAATTTTCTCCCATTCTGTAGGTTGTCTGTTAGCTCTTGTGACAGTTTCTTTGGCTATGCAGAAGCTTTTTAATTTGATCAGGTTCCATTTATTTATTTTGGTTGTTGCTGTGACTGCCTTTGGGGTCTTCTTCATAAATTCTTTGCCTAGGCCAATATCTAGAAGAGTATTTCCAACGACGTCCTCTAGAATTCTGATAGTTTCGCTCCTTAGGTTTAAATCTGTTACCCAGCGTGAGTTGATTTTTGTGAGAGGTGAAAGGTGTGGATCTTGGTTCAGTCTTCTACATGTGGCTATCCAGTTTTCCTAGCACCATTTATTGAATAAGGATTCTTTTCCCCAGTGTATGTTTTTGTCTGCTTTGTCAAAGATTAGGTGGCTATATGAAGATGGTTTTATATCTGGGTTCTCAGTTCTTTTCCACTGGTCAATGGCTCTATTTTTGTGCCAGTACCAAGCTGTTTTGATCACAGCCCTATAATAAAGTTTGAAGTCTGGTAAGTTGATACCTTCCATTTTGTTTTTATTGCCTAGAATTGTTTTTGCTATGCGGGATCTTCTCTGGTTCCATACGAAGCGCAGAATAAATTTTTCTATGTCTGTGAAGAATGATGTTGGTATTTTAATAGGGATTGCATTGAATCTGTAGATCACTTTGGGTAGTATGGACATCTTAACAATGTTGATTCGGCCGCCTCACGAGCATGGTATGGTTTTCCACCTGTTTACGTCCTCTGCTATTTCCTTCCTCAATGTTTCATAGTTTTCCATGTAAAGGTCTTTTACCTCCTTAGTTAAATATATTCCTAGATACTTTATTTTCTTTGTTGCTATTGTGAAGGGAATTCAGTCATTGATTTGGTTCTCGGTATGTTTGCTATTGGCGTATATGAAAGCCTCTGATTTGTGTGTATTGATTTTATATCCTGAGACTTTACTGAATTCATCTATCAATTCCAGGAGCCTCTTGGTTGAATCCATGGGGTT